CTTTCCCATCTTCGAGTCTTTGGTTGCAAATGTTTTATTCATAATAACGGCAAAGATAACTTGGGAAAATTTGATGCCAAGTCGGACGAAGGGATTTTTCTTGGTTATTCTCTTCGCAGCAAGGCCTATAGAGTATTTAATAAACGTACTTTGACTATTGAGGAGTCCCCTCATATTGTATTTTCCGAAGATAATACTCACTTGGCGAGAAAGGCTATTTGTGATGATCTTGCAGATTCATTAGAGAGAGTACACCTTGAAGACGATGAAGAAGACACACCATTATACACCAACCCGCAACCACAACCTGAGGAAACACCTCAAGTGATGGTCGAAAGTGAAGACCAAGCAGACGAAGAAGAACAAGAGGAAGCCCAGGAAAAAGAGGAAACCGAGCTTCCCATCGCTTGGAGAACGCACAGGAACCATCCACTTGACCAGGTAATCGGCAGCATCAACCGCGGAGTAAGTACTCGTAACTCTCTTAGGGACACCGTAGGACACATGGCTTTTGTATCTCAAATTGAACCTACAACCATTTCCGAAGCAATAAACGATGAACATTGGACCTTGGCTATGCAAGAGGAGCTAAACCAATTCAAACGGAATGACGTTTGGGAATTGGTGCCAAGGCCCGATGATCGAACGATTATTGGTACGAAATGGGTGTTCCGTAACAAACTTGATGAGAATGGAATAATCACCAGAAACAAAGCTAGGCTCGTAGCTAAAGGCTACAATCAAGAAGAAGGCATTGATTTCGAAGAAACTTATGCACCTGTAGCACGTTTAGAAGCTATTCGTTTACTTCTTGCTTTTGCTGCGTCTATGGATTTTAAACTTTATCAAATGGATGTTAAGAGTGCCTTCCTCAATGGTTTTATTCAAGAGGAAGTGTATGTTGACCAGCCCCCGAGGTTTGAGGACTTTGAGTTTCCCGATCACGTCTTCAAACTCAAGAAAGCGCTCTACGGTCTTAAACAAGCACCACGTGCTTGGTACGAACATTTGAGTAAATTTATTTTGGATAGTGGTTTCCAAAGGGGAAAGGTTGACACTACACTTTTTATCAAGAGTAAAAACAATAACATCCTTTTGGTTCAAGTTTATGTAGACGACATTATATTCGGTGCTACTAACGAGTCTTTGTGCAAGGAATTCTCGACGCTAATGACTAGCGAATTTGAAATGTCAATGATGGGCGAGCTCACATTCTTTTTGGGACTCCAAGTTAAGCAAATGAAAGATGGAACGTTCATTTGC